ATAATTAAAATTACCTAAAAAATAAAAATTTATTTCAATTTTATAAATTCTCAAATTAAAATCATGCTTGTATTATTAGTGTTACAATTAAAGGTAAAAATTTTTATTTTTCTATATAAAGTAGTGAAAAATAAGTAAATATTAAGTTTTTTAAGAAATAATAAAATTTAAATTATAATATTGATTGTTGTAAATTAAAATTAGAATCTTGATTAATGTAAATTATAATTATTATCTTAATTAATTATTACATTTGACATAGAATTTAAACTTTAAAAACAAAATATTGCAAAAATATATATATACACACTAAATTTAACATTTTTCAAAAGTTTAGGAGTAGTTTGTCAATAGCTAAAAAGAATTTTGTTAGTTAGTTAACGGAATGTTTGTTAAGTAGACCATTTTAAAATAAAATTGATAGTGTATAGGTCATTTGGAAAGAACAAATTATTTGTAAACTAAATTAAAATAAATCACATAATTAATAAACTATTTATTAAATTTAGCCAACAAAGAAGCGAGGAAAGCCTTCTTTCTTTTTTTTTTTCTTTAACAAACCTACATATGAAAGTTACATTAAATTTTAATTAATTTAAAATTAAATCATATTAGACTTCATAAGAGAAGGTTTTTTAGTACATGTTTCTCCATTTATAGAACTTGAATTCGAAATTTTTTTTAAAAAAAGCCAAACTATTTTAATTCGAACCAACAAATCAATGATGAAAGAAGCATTTTATATTTAGAGAATTGAAAAATCAGTAGGCCTTCCTCAATCTCTCATAAATCATAATTAATTTTTATGTGTTACTATTAAGGGAGAGGGAAAAATTGTAACATCTTGACGTTTAAAATGTTTTTTTTTTTTTGAACAATTTTGCAAGTAGTTAGATTCGAACCATTACCCGAAAGGAGGGGGGATGCATTTAAACGTGGTTTGACGCCACTAAGCTGAAGGCTCAAGTGCGACATTTAAAATGTTATAACATCTAATTACATGTTTTCATTTTTCATTCTTCTTCAAAGATATAAAAATATAAAGATTGAGGGTATATTTAAATATAGTACCTTTGTTGCAAGTGGATTACTAGAAGTAATATCCATTTGATAGTCTCCTTGAAATAATCAACAAGGGGTGGATTATGCACCAAACATTGAATTGCATAATTCATGAAACAAAAATTTCCAATATTGCATAGTACACTCAAACCCAATCCATGTCATCAGTAATATCTAGTCATAATCCTAGGCAAGGATTAGTTAATTTTAACAAGTAAAACAATGCTATATACAATTTGACAAAAATAAGTGTTGCAAAAAGTACCTTCGCTAAGATAATCATCGGTATCAAAATGTTCTATCTCACAGGTACAATTGTTGTCTACTAAGGCATTTCCTTAACTTTTTTCAAATTTCTGAAAATTTCTTCAAATTATTTATTTGAGTCCATTGCAAATTTCATATTGTAGTTCATTGTAAGACAACTTAGGTGAAGAGAGCCATGCTTTCCGACTTCAAACGCTTGGATGAAGAATGGAAAGGAAGTGTGTCATTCAAACCCACTATGCCACATCTTATTTGGATTATATTGCTTGTGGGATCAGTAATAATATTACAACAAACACCAAGGTTGTCAATCTTGTTGTCGGATATATATTGGTTTTGTTATTAACATGTACATAAAGTGTATCGAATTATATTAGATATCGTTTTGAATTTATTGCTATAAATAAATATAAATATAAATTAAAGAAATAACTTTGTAGTGATTTTTTTTCTTTTAAAAAAAATTAATAAATATAAAAAATATACACAATAACTTTAGCAACCTGGTTCTAAAATTGTGTTGAAACTTTTATTCTTTGATTGAAATATATGAGTTTTCCTAAATATTTTATAACAATATAAAATCCAATTCAAAAGCCAATTGCAATTTCAGACCTGGTGGCCATTTTCTCATGATTTTTTTAATTAAAAAAAAAATCTCATCCCCTAGTCTTTTTTCTCTTTTTACCATAACCCACCTTCCTAGTTCCCACTCTTCTTTTGTTTTTTCCTCTTATCCAATGACTCCAATGACGCTATGGATTCTGACCAAACTTTCTGCTTTCAAATCTCTCCTCTAATTTCCATTATATTCTAAATCTAAAGCAAAAAAAATTTCCTCTTTCACCAACTTCTCAATTTCTACTTTCTTTTATTTTTCTTTTAAATTCTTTCTTCAAATCTAGGTTTTTTATCTCAATTCTAGAAACAAATTAAACACTTGAGTGGAAGAGGTAGAGGGAACTTCCTCAAAAACCAGCCAATCTCTTCATTGGCGAGTTGCCAAAGAGCGTGGATTCCATATCTGATTATGTTTTTCTTTTTTCTGTTTCTGTTGGTGTGTAAAATTCATATATATGTTTTTTTTTTTTTTTTGGTTTAGCATGAAAGTGGGTATAGACATGTCCTGATTGAAAATCTATTACACAATATTCCAGCCAGTACAACCATTTTCAATCGGGATGGCCAAGATTTAAAGCGATACAATATTAGAAGATTTATGTATTGATTTTGAGTCAAAATCGATACAAATGGATTTTACTGAGTGATACGGTATGAGATTTACAACCTTGGCAAACACTACCTTTTGCAATACTATAGTTCTGGTTGCATGCACTTTTTTCTATGTAGTAACTGAAGAAATGAATAATTTGAAACTCCATGACATCCATGAGAATATGATGTTGAAATGGCAAGTGGTGATCAATGATTGTCTATTTTTGAATTTAACTGTGGAGTTTAATTGCAATTGATTGTTGAAGGAAAATTGCACATGCTTATTTTAATTTGAAGGTGTTGACAAATATAAGCTACATTGGATAACTTAAATAAGTCAGAAGAGTCAAAAGAGTTTGGTATTAAACTATGCAATATTTGTTTATGTGATAGTACATTATCTTTTGATGGTCATCTTCTTAATGAAGGTATTTTTTATTAGTGTTTTAATGTGTTATAGAAATCCTAAATAAGGTAAAAAAAAATTTGTTTTTGGACTCTTTTGGTGGTGTAGCCTTTCATTGTTATTTACCAAGAGGAAATGCTACATATTTTAAATATATAATGGATTACATATATTAATTTATTTAGTATCCCATTATATCATATAATATAAAATTTGACATAATATTTGTTGTGGCATTGTCATTTTTACTTGATCATAAAGTTCAACACTTCACTATATACCTTAAAATGAGGTGATTTAATTAGTTAGGAGTATAAAATTTTAAATTAAAAATTTCATATTCAAATGTTAAGTTGGGTTGTGAAAATTTTGAAAAAAGAAGGACATGTCAATAGAATTTAAAACAAGTGGGAGTTGTATTAGTAATAAACCCCAATACTGAATCCATAAAATTCAATGAAAATGAATTCTACGTCACTTGATATTACTTATGACAAATGAATATATAAATCATCCAACGGACCAACGCTAATAATAGCAATACACGTACACTAATAAATTATTTATTAAAAAAAAAAAACCTAAGAAGTTATAACAAATGAAAGAGTACAATAATCCACACAACATGTAGCTTAACTACATTCCTAATTTATTAAAAAAAAAAAAAAAAGGTGGTCCCATTCATCTTTAGGTTGAATGTAGATAGAAAACCCGATAACACATCTGCATTTCTTCAAGTTCTTTATTAAACCTTGCAGCCTGTCATATTGTTATATAATATTCCATTATGCTAGCAAAATAGCATCAATAAAAGCCAAAGCAAAGATTCAAAAGTTTATCACAAAGAGTAGAACACAAAGGAAAAAAATTGTTTTTGTTGAGAGAGAAGGTGGACTAGAAAAGATAAATACAAATGAGACATACCTAGAACTATGATAAATATCCAAGCAACTCAGCCCTTTATCCCATGTCCATCTTCAATCAAATCTCCCAAACTTATCATTGAATAGGGCTTTGGCAATGGAGATGGTCGACCACTGGTAAGAGCCTGATAAACCTGCTGCATAGTGGGGCGAAATTGAGGATTGGAATGCAAACATGTGAATGCTAGCTTTGTGGTAGCAACCACTTGCTCAGCCACCTTATTCCTCCTTTGAGGTTTAAGGCATTGGTCTATGACATCCTTCAGCAACATCTGTTGGCCATTTGGTGTCCATAAATCTGAAATAAGATCACCTGGATGCCTTCCCATAATTATCTCCATTGTTACCACCCCAAAACTATAGACATCACATTTTTCACTTACTTGCATCGTGTAAGCAAGCTCTGCAGAAGCAATCCTAGTTAGTTATAAAATAATATAATAATTTCTAGAGTTTATTGGAAGATATATCAAATGAATGAAATACCTGGAGCTATGTAGCCAAATGTGCCTGCAAAGGACGTCCAGTTAGAGGAATCTGGCTTCAAAATCCTAGCTGTGCCAAAGTCTGAGACATGAGCTTCATAATCCAAATCTAACAAAACATTGTTGCTAGAAATGTCACGATGGATTATTGGTGAAGGGCGATCGTGGTGCATGTAAGATAAAGCACTCGCTAACCCTTTAACAATGTTCAATCTCTTATCCCAATCCAACTCTGTTGCTTCTTCTGGGTTGCTCAAAACTGTCCTCAAGCTCCCCCTTTCAACAAACTCATAGATCAGGAATGAATACTCTGCATTAGAACAAAAACCATACAACTTGACAATGTTACGATGTCGTATGTCTGCTAAAGCACGAATCTCACTTTCAAATGCTCGCAAATTGATGGATTGACTGTCATCTGATGGGTTAAGTTTCTTAAC